GGACGATTACTAGTGGGGATGGTCCCTGCTAGGCCCTCTGTCTTCCAAGCAGAATGTGGGCCCTACTTAATTGCAGGTGGTCAAATGGAATGTGAAGGCCTGGCCCTCCCTTGGGGCCTGGGTTTGGGAGAGACCACTATTTGCAGATCTCCCTTTGCCAACCTCAGGAAGGGGATTCGCTTGCTAAAACAGTCTCCTAATTGGCCTCCCTGATTCTACTCTGGCCTCCATCTGGTCTAGTCTCAACCCAGAAATAGGAGAGACCCCTTAACTATGTGGCTCATATTCCATCCCTCCTCTACTTTCAAAACCCTCCAGTGCCCTCCCCCCCCCAACCTCACTCAGAGTAAGAGCTGACATCTTTCCAATGGTCGGTAAGGCCCTGCATGATGTGGCTCCAGGTCTCACCTCCCAGGTTTCTGATCACACTGCTCCCATTGTTATTCTTGGAAACCACCAGGCTTGGAACACGCCTCCTTGAGTCCTCTACAATGGGACTTCCTCTGGATGCAACCCCATCAACCTTTCCCTGCTCTACTAGGCTCTTGTCAGCTTCCAGCACTCTCTACACTTTTCTTACTAATTATATTTATTTTCTATGGTCTGTAGCAGGAGTGTAAGCTACATGTAAGTAGGGGCTTTCTTTAGTTTTGTTCATGGATATATTCTAAGTGTCTACAAGAGTCCCTTTTGTCTAGCAAGTGCTTGATATATATTTGTAGGATGAACAAATGAATGGTGACTGAATAAATGAATATATACACTTGCAGACTCTTGATTCCCAGCAACCACAGCTGTCTTCGTGGGAGGAGCAGCTGGCCAGGGTGAGAACTGGCAGGCAGCAACTGATTCCCAAGAATACGAAATCTCCTGTTCACGCCATGCAGATGCAAACAGGCTTGCTGCTTTCTCCCAGTGCCTATTGGAAAATGGACTGCAGGTCTGCTTATTTAAAAACAATAACAACAAACTTCCAGTGCCTTTCACAGAACTTCAGGCCAAGCTAAATTGTCACATTTCAGGATGCCTGCATTCTGACTCTGCATTCATCCATTAATGAGCTTTGAGGCCCTGGGAAAGTCAATTAACTTCCTGGGGATCCAGCAAAATAAAAGACGACTAATTTTGTTTCCAACTTAAAAAACTGCAGCATTAGGAAAAGGGTAAAAATAAGTGAATCCCTGCTTGACCACTCCTCTCTTTCTTTCAACCAATTTCTAATAAACATCCAGATTTTAACAATTCACTCTCACAAGAAAACCAACTCTCCTATCTGGCCCATCTCACAAAAGAAATGATAAATAGTTGGGTGTGACTCAGCTTGTACTATTGCAAGTGATTCCTGAAGGTGGTGGTTCCAAAGCTACATTAATGCTTTCGTTTAATTTGGAACCAGGGCCCTGACCAAACAAAAAAACTCTCTGCAGACAGCATTAAAACAGCTATCATTCTCCACTTGTTATCTGCTGAAGCTTATGGCAATATGGGGTCATTGCTAAAAAGCTAGATTCTTGATGACGTAGAAGTCCTTTAGGAACACAGAGATATTCCTACTGGAATCATCTTATCACTTCCTGTCGAACTTTTAGTCCACAAATAAAATGAACTCTCAAAGTACCTGCAGCCATCTGCTTTGTATCGACATTATTAGCAACCAGGTCTGTAGAAATAATAATCATTTTCATTTACAGTCCAACTATTCTATCAGCCTCGTATGCTCAGCACCTTCCTGGCACTGAGGCCACAGAGATGCAAACACAGTCCTTGCCTCAGATTGCTGACTGTCTTTGAGGAGCAAAGACAGCCCAATGGGGAGCAATTAAAAAAAGAAGAAACAGAAGTGGGTCTGATGTTCAACGTAAGAGAAAGTTTAGAAGAAAAAAGAAGCAGACATAAGAAAGAAAAAAAATGTTTTAAAATTTAAATTAGTGAAATTACTACCCAGATACAAGTATCGTCGACACCATTGGTATCCTAGACATCCCCATCATTTAAATAGACAGTAGATACATTTTTTCTTTTATTTCCTTTTTCTTCCTTTTTTATTTGCCAAAAATGAAAATGTATTTTATCTAATCATAGTATTTTTAAAAGGCTTTAAAAAAATCCCATTATATAAGTTAATGTTTTTGCACTATAAATATAAATCTACACCATTTTAACTGGCTGATGTGTCCTTTCACAGTGTCCTTTAATGGATTTACTTAAGCAATTCCCTATTGGTTACCTTCTACATACATCTTTACACAGTTACCCAAATATTTATTTAGGATACATGCCTGTATATCTATCTATCTGTGTGTGTGTGCGTGTGTGTGTGTGCGCGCGCGCGTGTGTGAATGTTTATCTGTATGCATCCCAAATGCCCTTGAGTAAAGATAGAGTACCAGCCTCCAATCTTCATTTCCATAAGCAGGGGGTATGAGTGTCCATTCTGGGCATATCATTTAAAAAAAATCTTTGCCAATCTATAAGTTTAAAAAATGGTATCTAATTCTTGTTCTGTTTTGCATTTATATTGTTGGTATGATTATATTTTAAGAACATCTTTACAGGTAATTGATAATTCTTACTTTGCTAATTGCTGCCTCATTCTTAACTCAATCCTTCTTTTAGTTCCATATTATTTCTATTATACCATATTATTTCTATTATTATTTCTAAAAACTCTTCCTCTCTAAAGGTGACTAAATTCTTTCTCATCATATATAAAATATTTTTCCTAAATTAGTTACTTGCATTTTTACCTTGTTTTTTATGTTTTTTTGTAATGAGAATCTCAAAAAAAAATGTATACAGGCAAGTCCATCAAAATTCTGTTATGTGGTCATGCCCTTGCAGATATGGCCTCGTTTATCTTTTTTAGTATTATACAGTTATAGCTTTTTTCTCTTACTATTTTTACATTTTTAATTTTCACATTTATATCTACTATACATTTAAGAGGCCACAATTAAAATATTACTATAACTTTTTCAGAAATCACTTAAAAATATATAAAATCAATGTGATCATTCAAAGTGGGTTTATTTACCCCAAAATACCTTTTTTATTTTAAATTTAAAGATGGGCTTATGGGGGAAAATATACAGTAGCTCTTTTCACTTCCAAAGATTATAGTATTCAGTTATCAAAATACATGAAAATCTTGTTATTTTTCTGAGCTAACATTATAATATTCTTTTTGGTCACCAATTCTGTTCACCGTGTATGTTTTATCTTCTCAACTGGACTACAGACAGATGTCTTTGCATTAAGAGAGTAAACTGAGATTCTTTGATTAGCTGTCCATGAAATAGTAGTTGCTGGATTCACACAATTTAGTATATAATTTGGCATATAGTAAATTCTGTCTAATTAAAGAATTTTGTGTGTCAGACACATAGTAAGAGCTCTAGAAAATGAGTAAGATGGTAAGTGGTTAAAAGGGTATTTTTAGAGTAATTAATCCAAACAGCAACATATGGAATGAACAGAGATTCAAGAAAGAGAGAGAGAGGTAGGTCAAGTAGAAGTCTACTGCAAAATCTAGGCTTCCACTGAATGGGCCCACATGAAGTTAGCAAAGGAAGATTAAACCAAGACAGCATTATAAGCCAGCCTGAGAGATAAGAATGAATAAAAGTTTCATGGACAGAAACCACGAAGGTGAGAGGAAGAGCAATCTAAGCAGGGCAGGGATAGGAATAGTGGTTTTGGTAGCAGATATACTGAATTTACCTTCCTTCAGTGGGACAGCTGTCTCACAAACTGTCAAAGATACAGGACTGGGGCACATAGCTAACTAGAAAAGAAAGCAACCATGAGAGTACGTATATGGTATCAGATACTGTTTTAGGTATTTCCTTCACAGAACTGGAATTTAAATTTCAGTCATCCACACATTAGCCAGAGATGAGGAAAAGACCCATAGAACTTGGTTAGATTATTGTTCCACCATTTCTAGCTACATAGACCTTGGGGCAATTTACTTACCCTCTTTGTAAACCTAAGTTCTGTCATCTAAGAAATGAGGCAAACTCTGGAAAACAGTATGGAGTTTCCTCAAAAAATTAAAAATAGAACTACACTATGACTCAGCAATTGCACTACTAGGTATTTATCCAAGGGATACAGGTGTGCTGTTTCAAAGGGGCACATGCACCCCAATGTTTATAGCAGCACTATTGACAATAGCCAAAGTATGGAAAGAGCCCCAATGTCCATCGATGGACGAATGGATAAAGAAGACGTGGTATATATATATATATACAATGGAGTATTACTTGCCAATCAAAATGAATGAAATCTTGCCACTTGCAACAAGATGGAATGGAACTAGAGGGTATTAGGCTAAGCGAAATTAGTCAGAGAAAGACAAATATCATATGACTTCACTCATATGAGCACTTTAAGACACAGAACAGATGAACATAAGAGAAGGGAAACAAAAATAATATAAAAACAGGGAGGGGGACAAAACATAAGAGACTCTTAAATAAAGAGAACTGAGGGTTGCTGGAGGGTTTTTGGGTGGGGGATGGGCTAAATGGGTAAGGGGCATCAAGGAATCTACTCGTGAAATCATTGTTGCACTACATGCTAACTTGGATATAAATCAAAATATGAATTAATTAATTAGAAAAAAAGAAATGAGACTAAAAAAAATGAGACCATAATAATGTCCATCTCAAAGAGCTGGAATAAATGACATACATAAAAGCAAACAGTGTGATGCCTAACTCAATAAATGTGGTCACTAGTGGAAAAACCAGAGAACTTAACAACTGGCTTTAGGGATGGCCCACATTAAGGGGTAGAAGATAAAGATACTTAAACAATGGAAGGTATTTAGGGAAATGGGAAAGAACCTTGAAGACACAATGTTATGGAAATTATGGGGCCAAGAGTTTCAAAGAAGGAGTTACTTAATCCAATTTCGTCATGAGGACAGAGAAATGAACCATTCAGCCCTGGTTGTTCTTCCTGTAAGTAAAGTAAATTTGGGTAGCACTACATACCCAAAGTTGGTCATCCATGCCTGGTGGGTTCTTTTTGATAAAAGCACCATAGTATGTAGCAATATTCCGGTGATGAGAATACTTCTTCAACATGTTAATTTCTTGTTTGATTTCTTCCTCTTCATCCTGTATTAGAATAATAAATATTATGTCATGAACAGCCACTGTGTTTAGTAGGATTCCGTTTTTCATCACCATCTATATCAACTACACAATAAATTCTTTCTTAAGTTTTATTCTTCTGTGGTGGTAAACAAGCATACGGACTACAAAGAAAAAAATCACAAGACATCAGGTTGGCAATCCTAGAGGCTCTTCTGTTTGTACAGCAAACAGGCATAGTATGCCACCAGCTAGAAAGAAAAAGCTCATCCTTTCACCCGGAAAAGATCAAGGTAGACAGACTATTGAAATAAAATTCACTCTCGGCTTCTGGGAACTATGTCCACTGACTACCTATCACTGATAGGAAAGATTGGGGAAAGAAAAAAAAAATACAAGCTCTGACATTTAAAATTTGTTAGGTTCATTTTCTTTGAAGCCTACTTTTATTGAAGTAACTGACTGAAGATGATGAAAGTCAGCTGGGTAAGTTCCCTAGATCTGAAGAAGTTCACAAAACAGGGGAACTCATCTCACCTTCTGGAAACTAAACATAAAAAGAAAGGGGGAACGTGGCAGTGCCATGGATGTGAAAAGAGGTAACTCTCCTACAGACTAAGTTTCCTGATGTTCGGGTTTCATTCGTTCTTAGCTTCACTTTGGAGTCCATCAACTTGGCCACTTTTGGAGGCCCTGGCACTATCGGTGGGGGGTGCATGTGCTCTCCCATAATTTTATTTTGATATGTACACATCAGTTGGATTTATTTCTGAGATTGGCGAGACAAAATTCCATCCCAGGAGAGTTATGTGAGATGTGCATTAGTAACAATTATCTCTGAGGGTAGGTTGTAACATCACCTTTACCTAAAGGCCGCCCGTGCTGTGTCCCTGTCTGTCCCCTTGCAGCTTGGGCTGCTTGGCCTCACTTCAGTCTCTACATTGTCGGGCCCTTCTGCGGTTTTCCATGTGATGTCTTCTTTCCCCATCCGCCTCTGGACACAGCTTTTACTCATTATTCCTAATCGAGCTTAAAGGGCCCTCCTCAGGATGTCTTCCCTATTTCTCTCAGGCCATGTCAAGTCCCCCCTGCTGTATCTTATCCACCTCCTACACTTCACACAGGCACCATATTTGTTGGTACTGGTGTGGAGATGTGTCATAATTGCTCTTCTACTCGACGCTCTTCATGGATTGTAAGCTCTCCTCTGCCTTCAGGTCTCAGTTCCAGAGTCCCTTCGCCAGCAAAGGTTTCTGATCTGTCTGACTTGGTTCTAGCCTCATGGATCATCACATGTGTATTCCTTTGTAGCACCTACCAGAATTGCAATCTACATTTATCTGTCCTATCATTTGATTAAGGCCTCTCTTTCCTATCAGCCCGTACCAACTGTGAACACAGGAATGGTGCCTGCTTTTGCTCTCTGTAGCATGCCCAGCACCAGGCAAAGTGCCGGTGAACGAATACAAATGAAAGAGAGGACACCTGCAAGGACCCCGCTACTACAGTGGCATCAGGGGTACTTGAGAGGAAACGGTGAGGGTGAGATGAGAACAGTGAAGTGCTGACATTTCTTCACCATGAGAAAATAAGTTTTAGTGAAAAACAATGGAGATTTGCAAACCCAGGAGAGTGAAGCCTCTTACATGTCACAAGTCTTAACAAAATCAAAGACTAACTGATCTCAAAATAGAACATACGACTGCGGTGCTGAGCTAAGGAGAAGCATGTGGCCCCAACATTGAGGAGGGGAGTCCAGGAGTGAGGGGCTGGGACAGTGGCTGAGGGAAGGGATGGCATCCGATGACCAATGGATTCTTCCCTGCAGCTATGGGAGACTACCTACACATTCACTGTAGCCTGAGGACAGACTGACCTTCACAGACCTTCTACTTGTTGAAGAGCCCCTGTAGCATGCCTCAAATGTCTTACTACGGTGCAGATTAAGCTATTTTAAACTTACCATGTGGGCCAAATAATTGTGGATGAATGCAGGATGTGAGCATATGTACTTTAGGGAAGCCCAAACAGAAGAAGGAAAACAAACCTGAGGGTTTCTGTGAGCAGCCTGGTATCGACAGCTGCTTCCATTAAAGAGGCAACTACCTGGGGCAGTGAAACACCAATCACTTTCCAATGGCAGCCTGCCAATCTCACCTTTGGCCATTCTTAGAGACAAGTTGGTTGTATAAGCATCGCTGCCGGCCTCCTAGCTTCTCAACAGGATGGAGGGTGATGTGGGACAATCCAAGAGGGGAGAAGTATCCTTTTTAAAAATGTTTGTTTATTTATTCATTTTTGAGAGAGAGAGAGCGCAGAAGGGGAGGCAGAGAGAGAGAGAGAGAGAGAGAGAGAGAGAGAATCCGAAGCAGGCTCCAGGCTCCAAGCTGTCAGCACAGAGCCCAACGCGGGGCTCGAACCCACAAACTGTGAGATTGTGACCTGAGCTGAAGTCGGACGCTCAACTGACTGAGCCACCCAGATGCCCCAGGGGAAAAGTATCTTAAAAAGTTTACCATACTATTAAGAAAAACAAATAATAGTGTGATTCAATATATAATTAAATCCAAAATAAATAATACTGGAGATCGGAATGAAGGCAGCAAGTTCTCCATCACTTTGCGAAGGTAAACTGAGGCAATATGAAAATGAAGAAAGCATATGCACTGAGTCAGAAAAATGAGGGTCAGCAGATGGAGTGCATGTTCACTTTGGGCTCCACTCTTTTCTGGCTACATGGCCTTAGGGAAGCAACCTCACTTTTATTTTTATTTGTATTTTTTGAGTTTTATTTATTTAAGTTATCTCTACACCCAACGTGGGGTTCGAACTCACAAACCTGAGATCAACAGTGGCATGCTCTTCCAACTGAGCCAGCCAGGCATCCCTAACCTAACTTTCAGAACTTAAGTTTTCTCATCTAGAATTACATACAGATTTATAATAGTATTGTATTATATGCCCAGTCTTTTGTGATATTTGAACGAAGTATGTTTGAGTTATAAATGCAAAATAAACACTGTTATTAATCTTGTCAACCAAAAAAATAAATACATAACAAGGGTGAAAGGGCAAGAATGGAAGTATCTTGAATTTTAGTTTAAACTGCACTGTTGCCAAACACAATTATGGAACCACTGTGGGTCATGGTTATGGAGCTCTAGCATAGAACCTTGATTTGGAGGTTATGTGACCTTGTAAGTGGGCGTGCATTTTATCAGGCCTTCAGGGCTACGGTTTATCCTGATTTCTAGTCTAGGGCAACGGTGGCAGCAAGTTAGGCAGTGGAACTGAAAAGCACACACGTACTAGTAACTATGAGAACTTATTCAACCATTCCATAAGCGGTCTACCCTCTCACAACACAGCTCATTGAAAAGGATGAGGTTACGATGGTTTCAAAAAGACAAAGATAACAACAGAGGCTAGAATTAGATTTCAAAGCTGTAAGAAAAGGATCTCTTCTGTTTTGTAAATGGGTTATTCTTATGTCTGAAGAATTAAGCAAAAGGATCAAGCTCACTGGGAAACAAATGAAAAAAAAAAAAGTAATGGTACTAAATTGTTACAAAGGTTACAAGGGAATAATTTTTAAAAGCCAAGTCCAAGATACTGGGAAGAACTATTACTTCAGTACTGATACTGCAAAGTCTAGTCCAAGCTGATTCATTATGTACCCTCAGGCATTGCATAGATACTCTCTGGATATCAGCCATTTTCACCTGTGATTGAAAATAAGAATATCTATTTAAGCTGCCTCTCAGGGCTTGGAAAAAACTAAGTGCTTATTTGAGCATAGCTTTATTGTCAAAAGAAAGAAGATTGCTTTTTTCACAAGATCATGGGAATCTATTTATTGCTTAGTATTTGTGGTAGACTTGGACTGGGAGGGAGACAGAGAGGGAGTAGAAAGGCCAGGATATTCTGCATCCTCCTTCATGAAGAAAGGGAGCCCATTAGTTCTTCTTTTTGTCTCTGGGCTCTGCCATGTGACCTGCTCTGGCCAATGGAACATTAGTAAATGTGCCCTAGCAGAGGCTGGAAAAGTACCTGTGCACTGGGGCATGCTCTCTCTTATTGCTGGCAGACAACTCTTCCATGTGAGAAGAAAGTGGTTTTCACATGCAAGGAAATGGATGCGTCCAGGAGATGCTTTTAAGCCACTGACTGCCTCTAATGACGATATCATATAACAATATGATACCAGGGTTATAAAACATAGCCAAAGCCCACCTCCACTATGTCCCAGAAACTGTGTGTGTTATCTTATTTCATACTCAAAACAGCTCTATTAAGTAGATGATTTAACGATCCCATTTTACAAGTGAGGAAAATGAATTTCACAGAGGTAAAGTAACCCCCAAGTTCATTCGTATTTTAAATGTCAGAGCTAAGATTCAAAGCAAGATTCCTCTGACTCCAAAGCCAGTGCTCTTAATTCTCTACTGAAAACTCCAGTTACCCATGGTGATAAAACAAAAGCTGCTAATCATGAAAGAAGTGTCTGGGAACATTTCAAGCCAGGGATGAAGAGAAACGCGCCTTTGGTCCTCCAATTAAAGAAGCTTGTTAGCACACAATAGTATTTGCTTATGAATGATATCAAGGGATAAAAGAGGGATTTTAAGTTGCATATTTAATACATGGGGAATATACTTTAAGCAACTACACTATGCTAGGATTTAAAAATGGAATTAATAAGGCATTTAATATTAGTGTGCTCTATAACAAAGAGTTTGCCCAACATTTAGCTCTCAATCCATGGAACAAGAGTAAAACTGCATAACTTATAATAATCCAAGGGACGGGTCAGTTTCAATTCAGAAGTATGAGATGTATAGACTGGTAAGTGCCACTACACCCTAGGCATATGGGCATCAGGTAGAACCACTTCTGCTCCTGCCCAACCAGTCCTGCTTTCCATAGCACTTGTTGGCATTAGGCAGTTGTTTGTATTAATTTTCCTATCATTCTCAACTCAACCGTTGACAGAATATGACATGAAGTTGAAGATAATTTATTGT